GGATCGAGCCTCCGATCGGGGTGGTGGGCCTGGGCCTAGCCTCAAGCTTAGGTCGAGCTTGGGCTGGCCTGGCTAGGCCATTTTTTTTTTAAATTCTTTTTAATTTTTTCTACCAAAATTTTATTATTTTCCACAAAAAAATACATTGCGTCTCGGGCGGGCTGGGTCTCGGAGCGAGCCTTTAATGGGCCTTTAAGTGGGCTGATGGGCCGGGTTAGGCTTTAAAGTGATGGCCTAGGGTCTCGGACATGCTCGGGCTCGGACCCAAACGAGCTTGCCCCGGGCCGTGGGAGGGCTTCAGGCAACCTACGGGCCGTGGGCCAATTCTACATTCCTATTAATGTGCATGTTAACATGTCAATGTGAATATTTACATTGTCAACGGGCTGGGCCGGGCCTACCTCGGGCAGCGGGCAAGCTTTGGGCAGCGGGCAAATCTTACACTCCTATCAATGTTAATGTTAACATGTCAATGTGAATATTCACATTGTCACGGGTCGGGCTAAGCTTGCCTCGGGCTGTGGTCGAGCTACAAGGCCAATTTTACACTTTTATCAATGTGAATGTTAACATGTCAATGCGAATATTCACATTGTCAACGGGTCGGGTCGGGCCTGTCCTGGGCTGCTAGCTAATTTTATACTCTTATCAATGTGAATATTCACATTGTCAACAGGCCGGGCCGGGCCCACCCCGGGTCACCTACGGGTCGTGGGCAGGTTTTGAGCAGCCACGAGGCGCGGGCTAATTTTACAGTCCTATCAATGTGAATGTTAACATGTTAATGTGAATATTCACATTGTCAACGGACCGGGCCCGCTCCGGGCTGCCCATGGACCGCGGGCGGGTTTAGCGCCGCCACGAGACGCGGACTAATTTTACATTCCTATTAATGTGAATGTTAACATGTCAATGTGAATATTCACATTATTAACGGGCCGGGCCCGCCCCGGTCCGACTCGAATTTTTTCAGGCACCCACGAGGATCGACATGGGTCAGACCCATACACATTGACGATATGAACATTCACATTGACGGTGTAAACATTCACATTAGGGGCATTTTGGTAATTATGTCACTCATAGGACTTATTGAAACATAAGAAAATAATGTGAACTAAATGGACATAAGTAGATGCAAAATGGTATTTTGGTCTTCTTATCTTAAATAGGATCTAATGGAATAGTCAAAAAGAATATGGGTTGGATGAAATAAATTTCCTAAAAAGTGGATTTATCAAAAAAGCTCCCATAATAAAACTACATTAATTGTTAATTGAAATATATTCATGACATCATTAAAAGTTGTTAATTATTTGATAATTTATTAATAAAGTCGGTTAATTGTTATACAATTAAAAACTTGAATAGACGATATGCAATTTTCAAACCCACATGTGACAATATGTATTTTAAGAAAATTTCAGGAAATATATTCATAATTTATCCCAAAATTTAATTATAAGAAACATAAATATGTTTAATTATTTTTCTACAATAAAAGATAATAAATGACACACATTTCTAAGGCATTTTTTTGGGAAGATAGTTAGAAGTCAAAATTTAATTTTTAACACATTTGGATCACATCATATCTCTATTTTTTTACATATTTAAAAAAAAAAATAAAAAACTAATTTTTAACAAACTTTCCAAAGCACCCATTGGCCGTCGTTTGGCAATAAATTTTTTTTGTTGGTTTTTTAATTTTGTTGGTTTTTTTGTTATTTTAATTTGAGACTAAAAGTTTATTTGGTTTGATTTTTTTGCTTTTTTTTAAGATAAAAAGTAAAATTATTATAATTTGAATATAATATTTTATCTTATTAACTTATTTAATTTTTATATTTTTTAATCAAACAATAAATTGCCAAGCAAAGCCTACATGGCTTTCCACCTAATTTATAGGTCACTTTAAACGGAACTCCTGAAGTCCGCTGTGAATAATTGAGATACTATTATGCGAAACGAAGTTATGGTGTGGGCCATAAAACCGGCCATTTGGTAGAGGCCTCATTTAATGGATTCCACGCAGTAAGAGCATCCCATTCGATTTAAAGGGATAAAAAATAGAAGAAAAAAAATTAATTGCGAAATTAATAAAACGGCTTGTTTTTATTTATCCACAAGCCAAATAAATAAAAAATAATCGTAAATTAATAAAATGCAAGTGAGAGATATTAGGAAACATAATTATCTCAGGCCTCGTTTAGGAAGTGGCTATTTTAGTAGGTTATCTAAGAGCATCTCCAATGCACTAGGCATATAATACTTGTTAGTTAAAATACCTAGTGTGATTCACTTTTTTCAATTCCAATGCACTAGACATATGATTAGGCATTTTGGCTCAACTCATATTCACTAGCTACATGTAGCTAGCCTTCAACGCTAGGCAAAATGTATTCAATCATTAGGATCATTTCCCTCCATCTTTTTTGTTGACGTGGCATTCTATAAAATTAATAGTATTTGGATAAATAGCTAAAATAAAGAGCATGGTTGGAGTAAAAACATAAAACAGTTGATAGGCAAAATAAAATATATACTTTATAGTAATATTTGGATAGGTAAAATGCCTACTACCGTTGGAGATGCTCTAACTTTTTAGTTATTTTAGTTTTTGTGTTTGAGAAGATGAGATAGATTTTATTTGAGTTGTTGTATTGAAAAATGTGTTGAAATGATGTTTGAAGTTAAAATGATAAATTTGTCCATAAAATTATAATTTTTTAAATTGATGTGAAGGGGCAAAATTGTAATTTCTCACGTGATGCAGTAATTTGATACTTTGACAGTGTAGGCTGTGCCTACACTGTCACGACAGCTAAGGCTATTTATTTATTTTTTTTTTAGTAAAAAGGGGTGAATAGTAAAGCTTTTTGGCTTATTTTTCATTTTAGGTTATAATAGCCTCCAATGGCTCTTTCCAAACAGCGCCTTAATATCACTTGCATTTTTATTAGAAAAATACAAAACAACAAATAAAAAAGATAAAAACAATTCGAACAGTCAATTGATAAAATAAATAACTAAAATTATAATTTAACAATGAACAGTGCAAAAAATTATAAAATAACAATATTGCTACAACTGTGAAATTGTTATTTTTTAGCTTAACCGAACGACTAATCAGTGACTAGCGAGTTTAAAAATTCTACAATGCATTGCACCAAGTGGTCAACCACCCAATCATCCACCCCGTCGATTACTGACCTCCCCAAATTATTGCGTTGACAGCTTTAACTAGGTAAAATTGGTGCCAAAATTTATGAAAGATATATCAAAAGTATAATTTAATAGCTCTGATAACTCATTGTTAAAGATGAAAAAGTAAGCTTTATGCTACTTTATAGCAATAGCAACTCCAATGTCTTACCATTGGAGTTGTTCTAATATGTAACAAACAACTCGTACGAACAATTATATTATGGCTATTGTTGAAACAATGTACCCTTTTTCTTTTTATGAATATAGAATTAGTGCAACACAAAGGAAAAAAAAATTATCAAGGTAGCTATTGGACCCATGACAATACTTGTCACGGTGCAAAAAACGTAGCAAGAGTTGTATGGTGCAATAACATAATTATCACATGCACCATGTACTTTTTTAACGGAAAAATTACAATTTTAAAAAAATATTTGATCCTTAAAACAGAATATGTATATTTTTTAAAATTATATCAATTTAAATCACAGTCTTTTAATTTACTTTTAATTTAAACAATGAACCTAATTTGATTAAGTAAAACTAATGAAATTTTGTCAAACTTTGAATTTTATTGTGAGGGCTAAATTTTGAATTTTAAAAAATATATGTTTTCTTATTTTTTTCCGTCCCTATTCTATTGGTAATGATAAAACTCAAGACTTTTGCAATATTTTATTTTTTTTGTTTCGTATCCGAACGATGCATCCTCCCAAAAACGGATATTTTGCAAGCCATTCAGATAATTATCACAACTTCTACACTAATTGAAAATAAATTTTTCAAACCCAATTTGTTGTCAACTTTTTATCGAATCCTAATAATTTTTAAAATTGTATGTTTAAAACAAAATTTTAAATTTGAAGTTATATTTAAATTGGATAAATAATAACACGTCACTTCACTACTTAAAGTTATTTTTAAAAATGACTATTTTAATTGGTGTCTTAACTTTTTACAAAAAATAAATATAAAAAAAAATAAAGAGAAGAGTTGAGTTTTTGATAATAAATTATTATTTTTTTAGCTATTTTATGTGCTTCTCAAAAACACCCATTAATTGATCAAACATAAGGAGTAATTTTCTTTCTACCAGTAAAAAAAAATAAATTTAAGTCTTATTTGACATGATTTAAAAAAGTTAAAAAGACACTATTTTTTTTAAGTCACGTCATCTTATTTAAGTCACATCACTTCAAATCTAATCCATATTTCATAAAAAATCAAAAAATATATTTATTTAGATCATTTCTAACCACCTCTTATTCCATGATTCCAATTCTATTTTTTATTTATTTATTGTAAAATTACGTTTTAAATTTCAACTTTGAGTTGGGAAATGTGTTATTTTTTAAATCACAAAAGTCTGGTAAAAAAAATAATAATAATGGTGATTACATCTTATCATGTTGGTCACCGAACTGTCCTTTGGCAAAAGATGGGGGTCGAGGACCACCTCTTTTTCATCCCCCACATTACTAATTACAAATGGCAGAAATCCAAGGGCACTTGCAGCCAAATGCGAAACTACTTCATAGGGTCCCCTCCTGCCCACTGCCTGGCTAACCCCAAGATTGAAGTTTGTTTAGAAGTTATCTTTCAGTTTTTAATTTATTTTAAATTATGTTTATTTTTTATATATTTAAAAAAAATAAAAAACCAAATTTTAATCATAGTTCCAAGGCAATCCCGAGTCAATCCCTCTCATTCACAGGGGCAACAGAGTCCTTTGCTTGTCTGTCTCTCACATCTCATATGTTATGCGTGAATTGTGACGACTCTCTCTCTCACTCTCTTTTATGTTTCTCTCTCTAGAGCGAGCGACTCTTGACTCTGACTCCTCCCACTGCTAAATGCCAATCACGTGTTGGTAAAACTCGGAATCTCATTCCCCATTCCCATTCAATTCAATCCCGCAACTACGAGAGCCGCGTTTGACGCTCTCATCCCGCGAGTCTTCGTCTCTTCCACAATACCTGAATTGAATTACAGCTCACCTCCTCAATCGGAATCTCTCTCTCTCTCTCTCTCTCTGTGCTGTTGTTGTGGTTTCGTCTCCCTGTGAGCTACCTATATCCCCCACTCCAAAAACCACGCCGGACGCCCCACCTCAATGCTTCCGCGATCACACACAGGAAATCTAGGGTTTTTGCGATAGTCTCCGCCTCTCCTGATTCGATTCTTTTCATGGAAGGAGAAGATTCTTCTGGTCCGGCTCTATACAGGTCTTGTAACCAAAGCTGTGACGGAATTGCGACTGAGCCGATTGATGAAGTGGATGACTCGCGGCTCGTAGGAGTTCCGGCGATGGTTGACGATGCCGGCGGTGGGGGAGCTTCTGCTGTCGTGGATGTGGAGTTGAAGGCGGAGGTCAACGGCGACGGCTGCGGGGGGAATCGGAAGCGAGGCCGACCGCCAAGGGGTCAGGCCAAACAGCCGCCGGTCAAGAAGAAGAAGGAAGAGGAGGATGTCTGTTTTATATGCTTTGACGGTGGGAGTCTCGTGCTATGCGATCGCCGGTGAGTCGATTGCTTCAATTGTGTTTTGGTACCTTTTACCTAACACATTTCAAGAAGTACTAGCTGTTTTTCTTCGAAAATTGATACAAAAATCTACTGGTTTATACTAACAAAAACAACAAAATGCTTTAGAAATGAAAGCAGAAGACTACTTTTATCTACTTATTTATTCATTCATTTTTTTGTTGTTGAATGTTAGGGGCTGCCCTAAGGCATACCATCCAGCTTGTATTAAGCGGGATGAGGCATTCTTTCGATCGAAGGCTAAATGGAATTGCGGTATGTTGATATATATATATATATGCATACTACTTGTAAAAGTATTTACTTTTATATCTGTTGGTGTTTGGTTTGAATTTGTTTGATTTCTCTTGCATGATATACTGAGAGTTTAAGCCATTAAGTACTCGTGACGTTGCCGCATTATCTGACTTGAGTTATATGGAAAACAAGACTTCAAAAAGTAATATAGAGGTCTGATAAATAATGTTCATCTTCTTTTGTTCCCTTAGGCAGTATAGGCATGATTAAGGCTTTAATTTCTGAACTTATACAAATGTTAAGTTATTTAAAATATCATTAGTAAACTGGATCAGGGGCAATGATTGTGTGCTGGACTGCTATGCGGAAAATGTCAAGGAGACCAATTTAGTTTTGACCTTGTGATGTTTTGATGAGTTTGATATGCAGCAACAGATGGTTGAATGTTCCTTACTCTTTGTGGTGCTATATGTATATATATATATATGTATCTTCTGTTAGTTGTACAAAAAGAGAGGGAAACAAGAGAAACGCTAGCCCAATTTAGTTTCATATGATACACGTGTCTAAGTGGCAACTAAAGAGTGGTTTTGCTATTTGTTGTATCTGTATGAGTCTTCTATAGGGCGTTATAAGTATTTTCTATGAATTAATGGATGATGTCAGAAAAATTCATGCATGTCTATAATGGATTATCAACGGATTTGGGAATCTGTTACCAATAATTAAACTAGAAGAGATGTCAGTGTCTTTTCAAAAATCTAAGGGGAGGTCCTGAAATTGTCAGAAACCTCAGGAGAGGTCAGTGTAATTTACCTTTGTTATTGTTATTATTATTTGTCAATGACTGTATTCTTGTGTATAAGAAACTTTTGACTTACGAAGGTGTAGTGGTTTTTGTGTGTTATGTTGTTGTGCATGTTATTTAGAAGTTTCAGCTCAAGATGTGAGTTATTTCTTTATATGCATGTCCAGTGTTTTAAAAAGCTCAAGCCGCATTGAGGTGCTAAGGTCTCCTGGAGTTTAAGCGTGAGGCGCAAGTTGTTGAAGAAAACCAAAATATTAATATAGGCGAAGTTTTTAACATAAAACAAATATTCTAAGAATTTCAAAAAAGAAAAAAAAATAAAAAAAAAAGAACGACGTTCAATATTTCAAAAATCATGAAAAATAACATTCAACGTTTCAAAATTTTCTCAAAAATAACAGTCAATCTTACTTTACCCTATACTATTTATCTTTCTTTATCAATTTATTAACGTGATTTATTTATTTATTTTATATAAGGAACTCACACCATACCTTAGTGGTATTAAATTTTAAATCGGGACCAAATTGCCTGATAGCTTCAATCATTGGCCTAAAGCTATTGTAATTTACTACATTGAAAGGAATCCCAAAGCAATGTATCCATCTTGTAAACCCAAAGCTTTTGCTTAATGCCTAAAGCTTTTTTTGATATGAAAAGTGGGGCTCAAAGCATGTGTTTACATTTTATATTAAAGGGATTGTAATTCCATATGGTTACACACACAAAGAATGTGGAGTGAAAATTTAAATGAAGCGCATAAGGCGTGCACCTCAAGTGCCTCAAATGCACCTCGCCTCAAGCTGTCTGAGGCGCCTCGGTGCGCCTTGCGCCTAAGCGCGCGCCTTTTAAAACATTGTGCATGTCCACTTCAACTTCCCCTTGTTGAATGCCTACATTTATTGATCATTTTTCTATCTTTATGTTGGTTGATGCATGAGTGTGTCACAACTTTCACACATATTTGTTACTACTCAATGAACTGGCATTCTAATGAATTTATTTCTGTAGCTAGACATGCTTATTGCTGCACCTCAGTATTGAGTTACTATTTCTTACTTGGATGTCACATTATCAACACGAGTGCTAATCCTAAGGTTGCATAATTTTTTAAAATTCTTGTCGGTGTTATGCATTTCAGGTTGGCATATATGCAGTATCTGCCATAAGGCTGCTCATTATATGTGCTACACTTGCACATATTCATTGTGCAAGGCATGCACTAAAGATGCTGATTACTTGCGTGTTCGAGAGAACAAAGGATTTTGTACAACATGTATGAGAACTATTATGTTGATTGAAAACAATGACCAAGGAAATAAGGAAATGGTAGGCATAATTTCTGTCTCTTTGCGTACTTTTAAGCTTTTCACGTAGTTGCTTATATGAAATATGCTCTCTGAGCCTGGTTCAAGCTCGTCATTTGGATGAACGTAGGCTTAATGTTGGTCTTTTTCTATTCTCATGATTTCTTTCTCATCCCATGTATTTGAAATTTGGCCCAATCAGGTTTAGCTTTGACCCGCCGTAGTTTCAAAACCGAAAATAGGAGGATGGTTAAACTGCCTGAATAATCAACTGGTACTGTGATCTTAAAGCCAAATATTGAGCATTTTTCTCTGATTGTTCCGAAGGGAGAATAGTTTGATGTACTTGCATTCCTAATTCAAACTAGATTTTCCATTCCGGTTATCTCAACACAAAAGGTTTACTTTTGTTCTTTGGGGTTTTGTGCTTTTTGGGCCACCCAATTGAATTCGATGCTGAAGTGATATAGTTTGACTGCCAATCAAGGTCTTAAAACGTTGCTAATTAAGGCAGTTGTGTTGTTGGCATGCTTTTGCCACAAATTTGCAGGCTGCTGATCCAATTTAATAACTAGAATTAATCAAAAATGCTTATGCTCTAGCAATTTATGTTTTGGAATGCACATTCTGACACAAAATGTAGCTATTAAAATAACCTTTCCCTTATTTTTGTTTTTGATTATTTTGGTTGTACAAAATACACAAAAAAATTATTTATTATTGTAATCACAAGTAAGGTAAAATGATGTAGCACTGAGAACAATATGTAAGAAGCACAAAGGAGAGAAAGCGGGGAACCAATTCCAAATTGATCTCGTTAATCAATATCCAAAGTCATAGTCTTTTAATCCTATTACATATCAATGTATTTATGGGCAACTAAGCTAAAGAGCAATCCCACAACGAAACAAAATCCCACTATAACTATAATTCTTAAATAAAACTACCTTAATGAAGAAACTTATAAATTAATTAAAATTCCTGAAGATAATCATAATCTTCAATCATTTATCCATATAATGGCTTTTATGAACCCAGTGATAAAGTTTCTAACGAAAATTGAGGAAAGGGGCATGTCGCATCAAACACCAATATCCCTTAGGGCACACTTAATTCAATGTTTTGGAAATTCACTTGTTTCTCCACCTACTATTCTCACGCTATCATGCTCTAATGCAAATTAGATCAATTTATCTTAATGATACTTTTTTCTTTTCCATAACTCTCCATATTATCTCTGTAGGAACCCTATCATATGCTTTTGTAGGTCAATAAACACATACAGAGGTCTTTATTTTTTTCACTATATTTTTCCATTAGTTGCCTAAGTAGAAAAATAGATTCCATAGTAGATTCCCCTACCATAAAACCAATTAATTAATTAATTTTTTTTTTTTTTGAAAATGTTGTAGAAGCACAAACAAAAGGAGAGAGGAAAAGTGTAAAGAGGGGGAGAAGTCTAGTGCCAGTTTTTACTGAAACTTCTTTATCTAACTTTCAATTTTGAACAAAAAAACACTACAGAGAGGCTGCTGAGAAATGAAGTGACCAACAAGTGCTGTAAATTAGCAACTAAGCCATAGCATAAAGGAGAGAATTCCAAGTAATGCATAATTTTAGGGTTTTGTTAAGAGTGCTCTTAGGGCACTGGTTAAGAAGCTTAAAATGCTTGTACATAACACATAAGAGTCCGTGCAATAAGAATGTACAACTATTTAAAACTTTGTTAACCAATGCCCTTAGAGCACTCGTTAACTAAACCCATGATTTATTAGCCGAAAGATTTATTCATATATAAATCTATTGAGTTACTAGGCACATAGTCAATAGTCTACTAATACTTATTGACCATATTATTACTATGCAGGTTTCTAAAACAGGTTGGTATAAAACACTACTTAACTTTCCAATTGACTGATTATCTAAATATACTCTATCTATCCAAGTAAAATTTATCCTTTACCACTAATTAATTTTCTGATGAACAAATGCATCAATTACTACCTCCCAAAGTTTCTTTCTAGAATTCCTAAGTTTAATACTACAATGGTTAGTGCAGTTTTGAATATATTAGAACTAATGCATTTTCCTTCCATTCATTAGGCATTTTTGTAGGATTCAAAATTTTATCAAACGAATTAGTTAACCAAACCGTCCCTTCGTTACCTTGAAACTTCCAAACTTCAGTAAGAATTACATTTGGTCCTATAGCTTTTCCCACTTTCATCTTCTTCATAGCCTTTTTTCTCTTTGCTATTCTGATGTTGCACAGGATTTATAGGAAAAACACAGGAGGGCTCTTGTCATATTGAGGGCTATTCTTGTTTGTCCATTTACAGAAAATAGCAAAAGAAAGACACAATAGAGCAAAATGAAGAAATAATACTCTTTGTTTTTTTAGGGACTGTAAGGCCGTTTGTCACTTGTAGTTACATTGCTCATCTTTTCATCTTTCTCTTCTTGGTGGACTTTCTTTATTATCCTTTTTAATAATATATATATTTTTTGGTTGCGGGTAAAGAAAAAAGTAGTACTCTTTTACAGAGAATTTGAGTTGGTGATTGGACGATACTTATTGTTTGAATCAGTAGTATCTGCCTTAAATCACCATCTCCCCCAAATATGCATCTTGTTTTGTTTCTAGTTCTTTGCATCTCTGTTAGCCATTTTAACATTCTGTTTATGTTTATAGCTTGGGCAGGCTCAAGTAGATTTTGATGACAAGAGTAGTTGGGAATATCTTTTCAAGGTGTACTGGATTTACTTGAAGGAGAATCTATCTTTAACACTAGATGAGCTTACTCAAGCTAAAAATCCGTGGAAAGCAGCTGGTACTGTAGCTTGTAAGGAGCAATCTTTGGATATGCATTATGGTGGTGGTGATGGCAAATGTTCTATTTTGGATAGCCCTTCTGGACACCTGGAGGCAAATGATTCCAAAAGGAGGAGGACAAGACAACAGCCAAAGTTACCTAACTATGAGGACTCCCTAAGCACTGATAAATCAAGTAGTGACAAAGTCACAACTTCAACTGGATCCACAGAATGGGCATCTAAAGAACTCTTGGATCTTGTTGCACACATGAAGAATGGTGATACGTCTGTGTTATCTCAGTTTGATGTACAGGGTCTTTTGCTAGACTATATAAAGAGAAACAATCTTCGTGATCCGCACCAGAAAAGTCAAATCATTTGTGATTTGAGGCTTAAAACTCTGTTTGGAAAGCCACGTGTGGGTCACATTGAAATGTTGAAGCTTCTTGAGTTTCATTTTCTTATAAAAGAGGATTCTCAGAAAGATGTTATTCAAGGCAACGTTGTTGATGCTGTTTTGAGCCAGGTGGAGGGTGGTGGGAACAATGAGAACCTACTGATGATTGGTAAAGATAAAAAACGAAAAACTCGGAGAAAGGGCGAAGAGAGAGGGTTGCAAACAAATCTTGATGAATATGCTGCAATTGATGTTCACAACATTAACTTGATTTATTTGCGTCGTAATTTGATGGAAAGTTTGTTTGCGGATAAGGAGAAATTCCACGATAAGGTCGTTGGCTCAATTGTACGAATAAGAATTTCCAGTAGTGATCAAAAGCAAGATATGTATAGGCTTGTCCAAGTTGTAGGTATGCATGGATAACCTTCTATAACTAGACTTTATATGCACTGTAAATTAGAGGAGAAAAGGTTGAAAAATCATGCATTATCAGATTCTAAAATGTGGATATTTTTCTTTCAGGTACATGCAAGGCAGCTGTACCTTATAAAACGGGTGAAAAGACGGCAGATGTCATGCTGAAAATATTAAACTTGGACAAGAAAGAGACCATATCAATTGATGGGATTTCGAACCAAGAGTTCTCTGAGGTGATTAAGCATCTTATTTTGATCTCATGTTCATTCTCTGATTTCTTATCTCTTTGACTCACAACAATATTTAGACAACAACAAATTGCTACTATTTTTGCTTCTTTTTTTTTTTATAATAAAAAAAAAAAAAAAAAAAAAACTTCTAAAGAAAAGGTCCCCCCACTGATAATATGCAGATAACAAAAGGCCCTCCCCAAGGTAACAAACAACATCACTTTATGGTATCTTTTGGTTTTTAATATCATTATATCACATATTCTTTGGTGGGAAGGAATGAAATTTTGGGATTCACATTCTATTGCTGGGAAATGAAACCAGAGATTGTCACCTTAAAGAATAAAAGAACGAAACCCCACGGGGTTTGGCTTAGTGGGAGGAGAAGGCGGCAACCAAAGGGCTTACCACCCAAGAGATCGCAGGTTTGAATCTCACGAAGGCCAAACATCCCAAACCTTGCGGCCACTGGAGGTTTGCCCGGTTGTTAACTTCAGAGCCCCGGGATTGGTCAGTATGCATAAGTTGGATCGGGCACCCAGTTATAAAAAAAAAAAAATTAAAATAAATAATTAAAGAACGAAACGACTCAGTGAGAGCATGATATTGATTTTAATTTTAAAGATTTATTCGTATGTGTTAGAAAGTGGTTTTTGTTTCTTAAGGACAACTTCAGAGGCTTCTTTTTTTGCTAAAAAATAAGCTGAAAAAGTTCATTCAAAGTATGTTACAGACGTGAAATTTAAACTTGGTCTTGAACAACAATTATACTTGGTCCGTCTAATCCCAAAGCTAAGATGTTGATTATATTTGGTAACAAATGCCTTACAACTTTTACTTGTTTCATGGTTGACTAGTCCGGGATATATGAATCTAGACTCTGTTCAAGTGTGTTAATTTGAAGTTTTGTTAAGTTACAACTCTGTGGTGTTATGCATGAATTGTTTGTATTTGTCATAAAATTTAATTTTGATCTCTGCTTTCTCCAGGATGAATGCAGACGTCTACGTCAAAGCATAAAATGTGGGCTTGTTAAACTGTTGACAGTAGTACGTATACATCTTAATGTTACGTCATATTCATCAAAATATGCATGTAACTGGTTTTTTCTAACTATCCATACATGGTTGTAGGGCCAAGTACGGGAGAAAGCAGTGGCATTTCAGGAAGTTAGACTGAATGATGTAAGTTTTTTTTGCTTTCAATTATGACACATAGGCACCGCATACTGGTGCACATTTGATATCTACTACTTTTTCTATCTCTTTGGCGTAGTCTTTGCATAAGCTATCCATTGTCATGGTCACTGTAAATTGAGATACTTGATTTCTGAACTTGTTCTGCTACTTTGACTGCTCCCCCCCCCCCCCCTTTTTGTCTCCCCCCCCCCCCCTCTCTCTCTCTCTCTCTCTCTCTGTGTAGTGGCTGGAAACAGAGGTATTGCGCCTCAATCATCTTCGGGATCGAGCAAGTGAGAAGGGGCATAAAAAAGAATATCCTTTGTTAATGGAATGCATTTTGAGTTTTTCATGCCTTATATCACAGTATTTCAATAACTTATATCATGATAGAAAGGTTACCACATCAAATTGGACAGTCATGTTAATCAAATTGAACTTTTTTGTTTTGGATGTAATAATATGGCAGTTAGAACTTAGGAGAGCCAGCTAAAGCACTCCTGAGCAGAGAGAGAGAGAGAGAGAGAGAGAGAGTGTTGAGACTTCTGTCTCTATCTGGAAAGGAGAATAAAGATAGGAACTGGTGACACGAGTGTCTATGGCCTCAGAAGTAAGGTTGTAAATTAGCCGAGCTGACTGAGCTTTGGGGTGTTGGGGCCTGGCTCGGTCACTTTGAAGGTGTGTTTCAGGCTTGGCTTAAGCTCAATGGCCTAGCTGCTCAAGCTCAATAAGTTTAAGAAATGCTTTATGTGAAACACGTGCCATGACTGTATGAATATAAATGTAAAGGTCTGTTACTTGAAGTGACAAGATATTTAGAGTGTCAGGCAAAAAGTTTGAAATTGCGCCATTTTTTACTCTGTATTATATCATATTCATTTCTTTGCAAGAGATCTGAATTTTTCCACACATAATTTTACTGAACTAAGGATGCTGTATGGATAGATGGCTTTCACCTTTTATACAGTTCCAATTATGGGTGAAATTCCTACATAGGCTAAACTAAGGCAGACCTTTAAGGTTTATTCACTGTTAAAATTAGCATTGCTAGATCATGTTCTGATGGATTTGATTCTGGAGAACATAGACGTAGCATATTAATAGGATTAGATTCGGTGGTTTATTCATTTCCATTGAAGTTTGATAACTGCAGTGCTAGTGATGGTTCTTAAACTATAGCTGTTCCAAGGTCCTGGGGAAAGTGAGCATGGAAAGGAAAGAATAGTGCCCAATCTGTTTCCAGCTCTGAATAGTGCCGAGCCCAACCTGAACCCGACATGCTTAGTTTGAGAACCCAGTCCGAGACAAAACTGACACACCCGTTCATTATCTGGCTGACCTGTCAAACCATTTTTTTCTGTAACTTATTAAATTAAATATTATTCAAAGGAGTGAAAGATTATTTTCAAAATATTAAATAACATTATGTGGTTAACTGGTAATGCTAATCAAGTTGAAAGTGGGTTGGTAGCTTCAGGTGACTTATTCTCAGAGAACCTGTTTATAAATGGATTATATGGATTTTGGATCAACTCGTTACTCCCACATTTCATTGTTTGATGAGAAATGTTGTGCAAACTATCTGCCTCCAGGTTCGAATAATTTTTATATTATTAATAATTTCATGGTTTTGAAACTATATCCTCCATCGTGTGTTTTAATAATATTCAACAACTAATCTTCACTTTGTCTTTGAGCTAATTTCCAATAGGAATACCTTGTATTAGTTTATAAGTTAAATCAGGGTGTGCCTGCCTTTGAGAAATTATTGTAAACATGAGCTTCTTTCTGTGGTGCTTTTTAATTTTAAAGAGGCCCCTTGTTTCTGCTTGTATGGTTGGTGTGCCTTTACGAATTGAGTGTTCAGTTGGAATGTCTTTCCCTGATACTTTCTAAATGACTATTACGCGTTCGTAGTCATCCATTTCTGCGTTATTGTACTGGATTTGGGGGTTTGGTTCACCATGTGAGAAAGTGTAAGAGAACTTTTAAGAATTGCATGAAGAAACCAACGTTCCTGACTTCTACTCATCTTGCCCTTGATTGTAATGCTAGTTTATGCTCTTTTGCTTTGCTTGATACTTACCCACACTCATTCGGCTATCACCACCATGATTCACTTTTTGATGACTGTCCATCTACTATTATAAATATTACCCGGAGATTGTAGGGAAAGGAAAGAAAGAAAGCTTGGAATCACCGACTACCATTCCAACAAATAACCTCCATGACCTTAATTTATTTTCTTTATTGTACTATCAAACAGAGGATCAGCTGAAATATTTATGTTCTACTTAAGAGTAATGAAATGGTCATATTAAGTATTCCTTGACCAAGTTCACGCTTAGAGAATGTGTAGAGAAATTAGAGCTTCTGAAGACACCTGAGGAACGTCAACGCAGGCTGCAAGAGATTCCTGAGGTACATGCTGATCCTACTATGGATTCAAATTGTGAATCTGACGAGGATGCTGGAGAAGTTAACAACAAGAAACAAGGTCCCTTTCATTGACTAGTCGATATGGAACTTTACCTTTTAACCCTTTATTTCAATTTTCTTCCTTCCTTCAAAAATGTCTGTCTCATAATTACTTTTGCTGGTGATACATGCAGATGAATATGTGAAACCAAGATTTTCTGGATTCCGCAGAAATGGGAGGGAGCCAATCTCTCCTCGAAATGGAGATATTTCAAATGATACTGGCAATAGGGCGTGGAAAAAGTTAACTACCTGTGGCCAAAGTAGAAGCATGTCTACTAAATTTTTTGGGGACAAAGCAGCTCTGGGCAGGGTTGTAGAGAGAGTGAATAAATTCTCCTGGCATGAGGGAAAAGATGCATGTCGATCGAATAGTTCGGAGAAACCAGGAAACCAGGTTGACTCCTCTGGTTCGGTGGTTGGAGGTTGGAACAATCAAGCTGCACTGAGGTCTGGATCTTTTCCTGGGGCTGCATCAGAAATTTCTGTTGCATCTCTCTCTACTGGGAGTGCACCATCTGAAAATGATAGCGAAACAGAAAAGTTGTGGCACTACCAGGACCCACATGGAAAAATTCAAGGTCCATTTTGTATGGTGCAGTTGCGCAAGTGGGATACAACTGGATACTTCCCACCTGATATGAGGATATGGAGTATAAATGATAAAGAAGTTGACTCTTTACTCTTGACTGATGTATTGAACGGAAAGTTCCATAAAGTCTTTCCATTGCGGGACAACATCTCTTTACAATCTCAGGAAGTTAAAGGTCCCTCTGATAGTAGATTATATTTCTGTGATGATAGACGAAGCGGCAGTATGAATACCATCTCCCATTCTAATGGTAACAATGAATTTGTAAAGGGGAATGGCTCTCATTCCTGGATAACAACTGTTGTTAATAACAATGATGTACAAACTGGAAGTTCTTCTCATTGCGGGGACTCAGTAAAGGTTAACGATTCTTATTCTGACAAGCCCCAAGTGCATTATCCAGTAACCTCACCCAAATTTACAGAGTGTCAGAATGACGTTTCTGTGCATCAAGAGAAGGGTGAGGAGGGCAAAAGATGGACCTCTGGTTCAAATCATGGAAGTTGGAGTTCACATGGAAATTCAATATTTCAGACTGCTGGTGGCCACAGTCATGAGAACCAACCTGATAGTCAGGGCTATTCAGGCCTACCTGTAAATGTTTCTTCAAACGACTGTGAAATCAACATCCCAAATCTACCTAGTCCAACACCACAGACTTGCAATGGGGATTTGGAAGCTCAGACTACTAAAGACCAGCAGTCTCTGCCATCAAATATTCCTGTTCAAGAATCAGGTATCGATAACCTGCCAAGTCCCACACCAAAGCCGAGTGATCCGGACGAGAAAGCTGATTCAAGTATTCAGCATGGGACAAGTCCCCCACCAGAGCGAATGGATGAGGACTTCAATGTGGATTCTACTGTCCAGAATCTACCAAGTCCCTCGCCAAAGCCAAGGGATGGGGATGAGAAAGTTCAGGCTATTGAAAACAAGCAGTCTGTCTCGTCATATTTGCCCGTCCAAGATTCTGGCCCTAGCTGGAGCAGTGGTTCCAGTCTGGTGGTGAGTGGTGGGACACAAGCTCCTGATGAATGGGGTGGATATTCTCCTACTCGTGCAAAACCTTGTGTCGAGGAATGGGATTCGGGTCTCGTGTCGTCTTCTTTGAAACCGCCGGATGTAGCCAACAATGATCACGCTGCCACTCCAACTTCTAAGTATGACCAACTTACCCCTCCTTCCCCATCGCATCCTGCAACAAATGCATCTAGTTGGCAAGTGATTGATCACGAACTCATCGAGTTTAGCACTCTGGATGAAGAATCAGTCTCAGATCTGTTGGCTGAAGTTGATGCAATGGAGTCTCAATGTGGCGTGGGTTCTCCTACTTCAGTGATGTACTCTGCCGAGGAATTGTTTGAGGATTCTAAAAATGATTGTTTTACTTCCATTAGCGGATTGAGCCCTCCACTTGATTCAGGAAAAAGTGATGCTCTGAGTTCCACTGGGGATATTCATATACCGTTATGTCATCAATCTACCATGACAGACGAACCACTTGTGGCATCTCAGGCTGATGTCCTTGATCCTGTAAAAAGACCTGGTGGGCAATCCTCCACGAGCGTTGAAGTGGAGGTAGAAACACAGCCCACTGATATTTCAGCTAATCAATCAGAATCTGGTTCGAACAGCCAGCTTCCTGCATCATCCCCCTTGAGTCAGGATATGATCGATTCAGACACTGATCACATAGCAGGGCCAACTGACTGGGGAACAATGCAAGGGAATATGAACTTGGGTTTGGGAGGATTGTCTCAAGGAATGACGAACATGGGTTGGGGAAATGACATGAACCGGAGCACTTCAGCTGGATTTATGTGGTGGGAGAGCCAGAACCAGCCGAAATATGGTGGGGAGAGATTAATTGGTACGAGAGATTGGAATTTTCAGAGTGGTGATTCAGGGTTTGACAAGGGTAGGCCATTGTGGAGTAGGCAGTCATCATATGGAGCTGGCGTAGCCGTAGGCATAGGCATAGGCGGCGGTGGAAGTTACTCTAGGCCTTCTCCAAAAGGGCAGCGAGTATGTAAATTTTACGGGAGTGGACATTGCAAGAAAGGAGCATTTTGCAGCTATCTGCACCCATCATGATGAGAATTCTTGCCTGGCCATCTGGTGCATTCAAATTACTGTACAATCAATTTTTTCTAGAAGAAAAACTTTTATTAATATGTTACTGATGTTCTTGTAGTGTAACTGAAAATTTATTAGTGATAGTGACATAATACAGAATTTCCCTCCAAGTAGGTAGGCTGTTTTTTGCAGTGTATATCATATGGTTGGGTGGATTTAATTGCATTTGTTGAAGAACAAGCTATATTGATGTAAGGAACATTCTTGATGTGTTTGACAAAGCTTTTATTGTCTTCCTTGAGCTTTTTCTTTGTTTTTAGATGTCTAGTAAGGTCATTCATGGATATTGATGGCTCTCATAGACTGGTTCCTAGGGGTGTGCATAATACCGCCGAAACCGTCGAAACCGCCAAAACCGCACCGAACCGCACCGCCAAGGCAAATTCGTTATTATTTGTCAAACGAACCGCCGGTTTTTGATAAGAAAAATGGCAAATTCTAGTGACACTTTTATCAATCCGCCGGTTTCTATTTTTCTTCCAAACCGCACCGACCCGCACCGCTATTAAATCATGTTTTATAGGATTCTAAAAATTCTTTTTTACTTAAGTTTGCTTATTGTTCTATACCTTAGAATATAGTATTACATTACTGCTTGAGAGGAATTTTATGTATTGTATTTGATCATTGTAGCTTCCACAGATGCTTGTAATGAACTGATGGCATAGTCGTTGATATTATCATGTTGTTGCTACACTTGCTGCATCAGAAGAAAGCTTCACAAGATGCTTAACATCACGATATCTCTCGTGTTTTTTTTACTCTTTGATTTAAGTTTTGTAATTTGAATTATATTTTTTATAAACCGCCAATCCGCCCGAACCGCCAAGGCAAATCCGCCATTAAATTGCATTTGTTGAAGAACAAGCTATATTGATGTAAGGAACATTCTTGATGTGTTTGACAAAGCTTTTATTGTCTTCCTTGAGCTTCTTCTTTGTTTTTAGATGTCTAGTAAGGTCATTCATGGATATTGACTGCTCTCATAGACTGGTTCCATATGTTGCCCCCCCTCGGAAATTTATAAATTTAAAAACAAAAGCTTTTCAATAATTATTCTTTGTTTATTTAAGTTATAGTGTAAATCACATTTTGTTCTCTTAAAACATCTCCAATGATTTGTTATTGGAGCTGCTATTGTTATAATTTGACAACTGAGAAAAAAAGTGGTGCTTCAATGGTTACATATGGTAGTTGTCAAATTTTTGAGAGGGTGGGTGCAATGAAGTGTTGAAGCAAAAATGAACATCTCTCTTTTATGGGTGATGACATATTGGGTGGACATTGACTGTTGAAGCAAAAATGAAAAAAATATAAAGTATTAGAGATCAAAATGGGAAAAAAAAATTTAAAAGATAAAGTGAAACTTAAGATGATAAAATATAATTTATCTAAATTTGTAATAATATAATTATGTCACCTGGAGCAAATGTGGTGTCGCATAACATTTTTAGGTATAATTGAATATGTTAACTATTTAAGCAAATTAAAAAAATAAAAATGTTAGAGATATGAGTGGATGGAAATTCTATGTATTATATACTTTCCATTACAATATTTATGACATTTGGTTATGATTGGATCTCACAGTCCTCATTAAATTTTGAACATTGCTATTTAAGTCTAAAAATTAAATTTATTTTTTTGATTTAGTAATATATTAAGAAGATAATTGATTAATAATTCACTAATTAAAAAAATTAACTTCTATATCATTTGGCTTAAATTTTTATTTTTGTTGCTGTTTTATACCTTTCTTATCATTTTGTTTTTCTTCTTCTACTTCTTACTTTATTACAAAATTGATTATATAAAATCTCACTCTCTTGGCGTTGAATAAATTATGTGTTTTAAATCATTAGTAATAGTAATTAAGAATAAGAAGTATGTTATAAAAATAAAATAAAATAAAGTTTGTCACGTAGTTGGTCTGTACATCTCCGTCCCGTAGTTTCGTCCGTAGCGCATACGGTGCAGCGCTTCAACCAGCAGAGTCAATTCGAATAGTAAGTACATCAATGGAGTCTTACATATATGGTTATTAATCTCATCAATCTCTATTATTCAAATCAAAACCCTAATTCACACACATTTCAGTACTTTTCTCTCATTCCAATACTTCAGTCTTCTCTCATCTCATCTTCTCCTAAATTTCGAGTCAAGATGTCGTCGTCAATGTTGTCGCCGACGCAGAGGTACGCCGCCGCAGCCCTGTTCGGGTTGGCCCTGCATCAAGCCCAGACCCACCAGACCCACCCGCTGGGTTCTTCCTCCGACGATGACCCTTCCGGCGAGCGAATCAGCACCGGCAGCAGCAGCGATTCTGTTTCCGATGATCCCCAGCTTTGGGTCCACCAATCCTCCTCCCTCCTCCGCCCTATTTTCAGGTGAATTATACACTCATATATGTGTATATGTAACTATGAAGATTGATGAATTTAAGTGCTATTTTAGATGATGATGATGATGATGATGATGATGATGATCGTCATTGTGGAAATTGCGCAATTGGGTTCTTTAGTTTACGCTTTGTTGATTAGTTGATTGTTGTATCAGTGGTTGCGGGTTTGGTTGCTGTGAAAATGTGTGAAATGGGAAGAAGCTTAAAATTTGATTATTATTAGGTTTTAGTTATTTGGGAACCCAGAACTTTAAGATTCTTAATAATTCTAATACAGCTATTCTTCTTTGTTTAGTTGACTTTTGTTTTTCATTTTGGTATTTTGACTTTTTGGAAGTTACAGTAATATCAGATTAACATGTTTATATCTATTCTATCTATCAATTCTATTGTATAAAGCACGCACAACTCATTCGGTGTGAACGCTTGCACAATTCTGATTCCCAGAAGGTCCCAGCAATACTATATTTTTCCCACATATTTTCCTTGTTACATTGAGGAACAAGACGTAAAATCGATCAATCAAAAATTGCTACATACTACCCACATTCTCTCTCTTCTTGCTCATGATCTCAACAACAGTTCCAATTGCACACACTTGCACACGTATTGTGCAGGCTCTTCCAGTGTATATGTATGTGTAATCAGCATTAAGCATCCTGGTAAATTTTAAACTTTATTGTTCATTTTGGGGTGGTTATTGACGTTTTATAACTATTTTGTCTGGAACAGATTCCTAGAGATAGATAGTGCGGCGTGGACTGGGCTAGAGGAAACTGCTGGCTCTTCTCCTGCTAAGCATCATATTGGAGCGGTATGTTTAGTGTCTTTAAACAACAATTTATGTAAAAAAGAATAACTTCATGAGGCGTTGACCTTCAGCTTTTAATATGTTCATGTCAACTGGAGAACACATCTTGCATATATGCATACATGGTGTGGGCATACCACCTTTTGTTACTAATTTTAGCTACCAATATCTGTGGTAATGTTACTATTTGAAATTTGGACTGATAAGTTTTAGAAATACAGCAGTTAAAAGTTGGAATATGAAAGGTTATTGTTTAATATCATTTTTCACCCTGACGTATTTAAAATTAAATTGAATTGGTGATGGTTTTCTAATTTCTGATTTCTAGTTGCCTTTTCTTTTTCTTTTTTGATTGGTATAAAAATTAAAAAGGTCAACAACAGATGTATAGAAGCAGCAATACTTCCCTGACCAAAGAACCAAACACTTGTCGCTATGGACATTTATTGAATAAGATGGCCTAACAAAATGATGTGACTTTTGATCTTTGGTTATCCTTAACCATGTGCATGGCATCAAAGCTTAATGCTAATTTCTAACTGCGTGATTAGTACAGATCCATCTTGAGTTTTTGGAGTCATGTCACACCACTCCAGGTTAGATCCTTTCATTTCAGCTGGTTAGACATTTGGTGTGAGCTGATGGTGTCATGGATGAATTTTGAAGTAATCTCTGTAGAGATTGTGACAATGGTCATTTCAACCATTATTAACTTTAGAGCACAATGATAGATGCAAAATGAAATATTTAGAAATTTTTTCCCCGTAGTTATAATTTCTAGTAATTTTTTGTTAACAACCATTATTATTCATCTTATCGCAGTACTTGAGATTACTCTCAGAGGAAAGTGGTGATACTTCCTCAGAAATAACGGATAAGGAACTTGCCTTGTCGAAATCTGTTGATGCCATGGCACGCAGCATGGAAACAACTCCTTCTGATATTGAGTCTAAGACCGAAAAGCATCGTGAGTATGAACAGGAATGTCGGCAGAAATTTTCCAATGAGATAAAATCAGATTCAGAAGTGGAAAATATGCAGTTTAAAACTCAACCAGAGTCAGATCGCAATACAGTTAGCATTGAACAGGCAACTAATCAGTCCGGCAGTCACATGGATGAAAAACCCTTAGAGGAGGTAACGATGCTTAGTCACCAGAGGAAAGTGACAGTTATGTATGAACTTCTTTCAGCTTGTCTCGCAGATATACCTGAAGATAATAAAAAATCCAATCAACGAAGAAAGGGCTATGATGCTCGACATCGTGTAGCTTTGCGGCTGCTAACAACCTGGTTCGACATCAAGTGGGATCAAATGGTTTGTTTACCCATGTAGTCAATATTTATGAGTTGCCAATTGTACTCTAGACGTATTCTCTCCTATATGTTGTCGTAACTTTATTCACCACACAACTGGACAACATCCTGTGGATTTTCTAGCATCTAATGATATGATGGATCTTTATTTGAAGGTTCTTCTTGTATGAACACAATTTATGAAAAAGTCCAAATTAAATGTTACCAGACTGAAGGGAAAGATGAATTAGTTTGATGCATTGCAAATCATCGTCATCTTTCTCTTTATGACACAGGATCTTGAAGGGAGATCTAATAGACCACACTAGTTTGATTTTACATGTTTGCAAATAGGAGGAGTGGTTCAGTCGCCTCTCCATCGTGTCATTGTGAAGCATGACATACTGTGTTAGATATATATTTTTTATTTTTTATTTTGTATATGTTTGCTTAATTGCTTTTTATCACAATCATGAAGAGTCTAAAAGAAATTGTTTCGTTGTTTTCTTCTGTTGATGAATCATGTGGGGTTTGACAAGTCTTAAAGAATGTGATATAACTGAAGGGAATATTTTTACTAATCCTATCAAAATGGGAAACTTTTTACCCCATTGCAATTTCCTATTCAACTTTATGAAACAGTCTGCCGCTATGAACGTGATCTCAACATGGTACTTCAGAATTTTGGAGATCATGCATATGCTTTAGCCATTGTAGTAGAAGCATCTGTGCTTTATATACTAGAAAGGCTTTAACAATCACTACCTATTAAATTTATTTTTTGTTTCTATATCAAAACTTAAAGTTGGGGAAGTCTTGGAAGTTCTCCTCAAAATGTCATAGAAAGGAGGCACAGGATAGCACATTTGTTTAACTTTCTAAACATTTTAGGGTTTCATTTCCTTCCAAGTCACCCAACTTATCAGAAGGGACTTGATTACTGTATTGATTTTGTTTCTCTTCCCTCTAATATATATATATATATATATTAATGAGGAAAGTGGTGGGGTCCATAGATTTATAATATAAAGGGTGCGGTTGTTTTTCTCTTTTCTTTCCTCTTTTGGTTGGGAGTGGGGAAGGCTGAGATTAACACCTCTAACAGCCTCCCAGATTTTCTCACTATCACATATCATACATCTTGATGGTACTGCAGTAGTTGAAGTGGTTGGATCCTGGCCAAAATACTGGCTAGCCTTTGTGCACATGGAATCAAGCATTATTTGTGAAATCCCCTTACTCTTTATATTTTCTTTCTTTCTTTCAACTTCAGATTTGTACCCTCCGTAAATAGAAATTATCTGTTTGCAGGAAGCTATTGAGACTATGGTTGCTTTCTCTGCAATGGCTTTAGCGAAAGAGGAACAGTCGAAGGAAGAAGAAACCCAATCGCCAAAAAGCACTTGGGCCAAGTGGAAACGTGGAGGTATAATAGGAGCTGCTGCATTAACTGGAGGAACCTTATTGGCAATTACTGGAGGTATGATATCCTCAGTATTTCTTAGGTTTTTAAATATTTTAAATGTTGTCAAACAAGTTTCTTATGACATGAGTGTTATTGACCATTAGTTTATGTTTTGTTCTGCAACAGGCTTAGCTGCTCCAGCTATTGCTGCAGGTTTAGGTGCTTTAGCGCCTACATTGGGCACTCTCATCCCTGTGATAGGAGCAAGTGGGTTTGCTGCAGCTGCAAGTGCTGCAGGAACCGTCGCTGGTTCTGTTGCGGTGGCTGCATCATTTGGAGGTGATTACATTACTACATTACTACATTTCTGGAATTGATTTTTAAGAATCCACCATAGAAAGAGTCCTCTGTGTGTGTGTGTGGCTAAATTGCTTACAAATCTCAAATAGTTGCACTGGATGTTCATTTATACAACATTTGGATGCATTACCAAACAATTCTGATAGCTTGATAGAGAGGTCTTAAATTTGGGTTTTATGTTTTTTTTTTTTTACAACTTTTGTTTTACCTTTGATTAATAGATAACAATGTATTAATGGATGAAATGGGGAAATCTGTTTCTTGTGCAGTGTTTGCTTCTGTCATAAGTTTAAATTAATACATGAAGTATGTGAATGCTGGGGGTGGGGACAGTTATGTTTTCATGCTTTAAGGTTTTTTAATACAACATGAGCCTTTGTGCTAATACTTTGATCAAACCAGCTGCTGGAGCTGGACTTACGGGGAGTAAAATGGCTAGGAGAACTGGAAGTGTTGATGAATTTGAGTTCAAATCTATTGGGGAAAACCACAACCAAGGTGTGAGTATTTTGGCTTCCATTTTCCAATTTAGATGCCTCTTGCTGGCTCCCCCCAAACAAAAAAGAAAAGAAAAAAAAAAGAAAAAAGAAAACTGGCTCTTCCAAATCTTGTAATCTTTCCAGTTATTCTGTCATACTTCTATATATATTTATTTTTTTATTTTTTTATTTTATTTTTTCATTTCTCATACATAAATGCTTCTATTAGAATAAATATGGATTCAATGTCCTATTCTCATTAAAAAATTTCTGTCAGCGACTTGCTGTTGAGATCTTCGTCTCAGGATTCGTTTTTGAGGAGGAAGATTTTGTAAAGCCTTGGGAAGGGCAACACGATAACTTAGAAAGGTATACCACATATTTGGCACCTTCCTTAACGTTGGAAACTCTTGCTAGTTACTTCGTTACGCATATCTCCATTTGGAGCATTTATTTCTGGAAAAATTAATGTGGTAACCCATATATGACCTTTTCCTGGCATTTGTGTTTATTTCTGTTCATTGCCTGTGCTTGATTGATTAGTATATCATCTGATTTTTATTATTGGCTGGTCCTGCATGTTACATCTTCTGGACAAGATTAAAATTTAATCTTTGAAAAGTAGACAGGCTGTACAGAATTTTTTGACTGTAATGCGGAACAAAATATTTCTGCATTGTTGTAATGTGTATATTTTCTTTTGTTTCTTTATGTTAAACAGTCTTTGATTTATTATTGTATAGAATGTAAGTAGCTCAAGACTAGAGATCAGATGAAGAGGTGAGTTCTTTTTTTTTTTTGTTTTTTTTCTCCTCAATCTGGTTCTTGGCTTGCGCTTCTTGGAGTCCAATTGAGTCCATAATTCATCTTTGCTGATAGATCAATGGTGGCTTATATCTCATTGAAGGGTCTTCCATACCTTCTGCTGTCCTTTAGAAGATTTGTGTTATTACTTGGTAATATATGGGCCATGTATCCCCATCTAAATTCTTCTATTAATCTAAACAAAAAAATCAAGTCATATCTATTAACATTTCAAATACTGTAGGGTTAATAGGACATGAAATAATGTTACTCTCGTTTCCCTTAAAACCACACTCACATATAGAGGTTTGCCCTTAAATTTGAAGCTAGTAACTGTCGAAGCTAAGGGTTTTTTTTAACAATGTCTTTGGTGCCTATGGTCTAGTTAATCAAGGGTGGGAGTAGTGTTAAGCTGAGGCTGCTTTGGGAGTTTGTGCTAGAATGTCTAGTGTAGCTTCTGCTTACAACTTGTTGGGCAGAAATAACTTAAATAAAGTTGATTGTTTCGAAGTTGAGGAGGGGTGCTTTTAGCTTGTGTTTTTTGATTATAAGCTTTCAGCTTGCAAAATGCTACACCAAACAGGCTTATGTCATGCAATTTGGGTATACAAGAATTTGAGGGGTGGTGGTTCTCTCTCTTTTTGTATTGCGTGCTCTTCGTGGGAGGCTCAGCTTCATGAAGTTGCTTATTTTATTTCATATTTTCCTTCTGTCTGGTTTTGGTTTTCATGTTGTCTGGTTTTGCTTTGCAAATAGAACTTGCATGTTGTGGAGCCTAGAATAAACAATTATTTCTTTCATATTTCTTACATCCTGACATTTCTTTAGGTATGCACTGCAGTGGGAGTCCAAGAATCTGATTGCTGTAAGCACTGCAATTCAGGACTGGCTTACTTCAAGTAACTTGATCACAGCCTTGTAGTTGCTCTAGTTAAAAATTAGCTATGCTGTGATGGCCAGTGTATAATGTTGGCGTTGCTGCTACTTGCTGCAGGAGTTGCAATGGAGTTGATGAGAACAGGTGCCATGATGACTGTATTAAGCGCACTTCTGACAGCATTGGCTTGGCCAGCAACATTACTTGCCGCTACTGATTTTATTGACAGCAAATGGTCAATTGCTGTGGACAGGTTTGTCTTGTCACTTTGACAGTAAGGGGAAGACTGAAAGAATAAGGGAAGAAACTGTTCTCTAGGCTCTAGGTTAATTTCATACGATCTGTAGTTATTCAGTTGTACAGTTGTATTGAAAAAGAAGGTTATATATCTTGAATTTGATTTCAATATAAAAAAACGTTTTTATGGTGAAGGTGAATGAGAAAGGTGGTAAGATTGCTCGCAATGGTAATTTGAAGGTTGTCACTTCTTGTCTGTTAGGAAAATTTACTTCATTCATTAAATTCTTGGGTTTATTTTTCTTTATCCCCATAACTATTGTCATTTTTCTATTTCATCTCGAAAATATAAATTTCATTTATCTAGTCTCTAAAGTTTCTAATTTTAGTCATATGGTCCAATTGGAGATAGTCCGTTTAAATCATGGAAACCTAGCTCAATGGCAAAAGGGTAATTTTATAATTTCAACAACCTAAATCATATAACCAAATTCTCATCTTCTTACTCACATTATATTAGACAGTTTACACTGTACAACCAAACACCCATCTTCTTCTCTACCCTTCATTTAAAATTGGTGAATAAAAAATGAGTGTTTGGTTGTATGAATTAAGTTGCTCAAATTTTGAAATGACCCTTTTGCCCATCAAATTAGGCTTTAACGGTTACTGATTTGGACAACTATCTCCAATTGGACCATATTAGCTGAAATTAGAAACTTTAAGGACTAAATAATAAATAATAGATGAAATAAATTACTAGGGTCGAAATAGGAAAAGTGACGTAGTTTAGGGTACAAAACTGAAATTATAAGCTTAATTTCTTTGGGACAAATCTAAAGTTCACCACCCTACCTTGCTGCAGAATGAAAAAGGTTTTCATTGTATATGATTTGTAGGTTGGATCTCACTTCTAAATATGTCCCATACAGGAAGAACAGTGTTTTCCCTTTCTTCCATCCCAACTCTTATGTCTTTTAGGAAATTTCTTGTTAATCTTTTGGCATTTCATAGATCTGATAAGGCGGGAATGCTGCTTGCTGAAGCGTTACAGAAAGGATTGCAAGGGCAAAGGTAGATGAGGCTTTTCAAAATTAAACGTCTGATTGTGCAGTTATATCCAATTCTCTTAGTGGCTGCTAACATAATTTTCAGGCCTGTGACCCTCGTAGGTTTTTCACTTGGAGCACGAGTGATTTATAAGTGTCTTGAGGTTTTGGCTGAATCTAACCATAATGGTAACTGGTGCCAGTCACAAAGCATCCTTCTTTCATGAATTGTTTTGGCTTGTTTGGATGATCTTAATGTACTTCTGCTGAATTTGGCAGCTGAACTTGTTGAAAGAGTTGTTCTTCTTGGAGCACCCATTGCAATTAAAGATGAGAACTGGGAAGCAGCTAGAAATGTAATTGGATTTATATTTTTCTCCCTGTTTTCTTGTTCTTTTATTTTGAGGCATCTTCTTAGATGTTTTTCCGTATTTATCAATCCCAACCCTCTGTTATGTTTAGAAGTTACCTCCCTCCTGTTTTTCAGGTTGTAGCCGGGAGGTTTGTGAATGCATATTCTACAAATGATTGGATGCTAGGACTTGCTTTCCGTGCTAGGTATGCAAGCACACTAAATAGAAGTCTTAAGCTATGCTTGGTTCACTAAAACGAAAGCAGAATGAAATGAAATGTTCATTCCTTAGCCTTCCTATGGAATGACCATTCACTTACAGTGGTGGCTGATGATTCTATTTGCAATGTATTTTTTATTTTTTATTTTTTTAATCATTTTTTTAGTGAACTAAACATAAAATGAACATTCTAATGGAATGATCATTTCATTCCCACTTTCATTCCAATGAACCAAACACTATCTTAAAAGCTGTTTAAATATGGTATACATTTACCAGTCAATGCACATAGATAATGTATAGAAGCATGTACATATGCGAGAATGTATGAGGTCTCAACTTAGTTGTCCTTCTACATGGGCATTGGCAAAATAATTCTTTTAAGTTGTATCAACACTCAAAACTGTTTTACTTGAACAGCTTACTGACTAAAGGCCTAGCTGGAATTCAACCCGTTGATGTTCCTGGTATTGAGAATGTAGGTATCTACTAGCAATCAAAATTTGATACCAGTGATGGTTTTCTCTTTCAGTGCTGTGCTTCTCTTTCTCAAATTGGAATATATTTTGCTTTGGTTTCACAGGTTGATGTAACGGGACTCGTTGAGGGTCACTCTTCTTATCTGTGGGCTACCCAACAGATCCTAGAACAGCTCGAACTAGAAGCCTATTATCCTGTTTTTAGTAGCATTCTCATCAAACCCTAGAATGGTACTTGGAAATTGGAATCTAGTTCAGCTATACTCTCCCTTGCCTCAAATCTCTAGTGAGATTGCTTATCCATTTACAAATTCCTCAGCAACAGAAATTGATACGAGAGTGAGAGAACTTTTAGCCTTGTCATGCGTGTTTAATGTAAAGAAGCTATAATCGATCAGCTTGAATCTTCTCAGCCAGATTTTTCTCGGCCACTTTTGATCTTCGTTTGATCATAATCCTCCATTTGAGATTGGAAGCATTGAAGGTTAGTTCATATTTTTTACCAGCTGGGGAAACTCATGCAATGAAATCATACAAATATATATATATATATATCAGGAAGGTCAGAAAGCTTTTGAAGGAGTGGTATCATGTATTTCTATTCCAGAATTTGTCATTGTATTTTCTGTTTTTCGTTTAAATTATTGTTTTTATCAAAAGATATAAAAGTTTACTAGGAAGCTCGTGGATATTTACTATGTTTGCACATAACTATGAACTGAACTGTCTTCTAATCAATTCTTGTTCTGTGGTAGATGTTTTTCTGAAATTCTTTTTTCATGCCTTAAAACTTAGCCCTTCTGACTACTATTGAGGGGTTTAAATTACTTGAATATTTGTATTCAAATTCTTTTGTGTCACATAGTTAGGTTTTCATTTTTATTGGGGACACAAGTTTTCTGTGTGGTTTGGGGTTTAGGATGAGATTGATCATGTAAAAGTGGACAGTAAATGAAAGACCATGTTTGATTTGCCAATAGGGGGACAACATAGGACTATTTAATTTTGAATTTTGTGTTTAGTTAACTTACCAGGGTTACTTTATTTTGATTATTTTCCTTTGCAGAATAATTAAATTACCTTACTTCGGGTAACTCAAAACTAATGTTACCATAATTCAATTCGGGAAACCAAAGATTATTACAATCTCTTGTTTAAAGCAAGAAAAAAAAAGGGGATAAAAAGATAGGTGATTTTTATTGAAAATTATATTCACACTACTTATTTATTTTGTCTTCTGTGAATGATTTTAGTTTAAAGTTTTTTAATAGTTGTTAGCTGATTTAATGTCAAATAAGAAAGTAAAGAAAAATAGTACTAATAAATTTCAGAATAGAGATGCCAATTTCACAGTTACGCGGGTATTTGCTCTCATACGTTTTGTATATAATCATCAAAATTATAAATTTTATAATTTTGAAGATAATTAACAAGTAAAATTTTAATTTTAAATGTGAAAAAAAGAAAAAGAATTTTTTTTTTATCATTTTTATTGAGTTTTCAAGTAGTTTTTAATTTTTTTATGTATAGAAACTTGTTTGATAAAAATAAATACCAAAAAACATATTATTAAAATTTCAAAAATTATTCAGACTCAAAAAAGACAAATCATACTGTATAAAATAATAAACAGTTTTAATTTTTGTTTTTTTCACCATACTAATTTTTATTTTTATTTTTATTTTTTTCAGAAATAAATTGTGTTTCTTACTTTGGACTCTTAAGAAGACTTAAAAAGTTTCTATATTTTACAATTTGCTCGAACCATTGGTGTAAAATTGGACAGATTGTCGAGATAAATAAATTATAATAATAATAATAATAATAAAAACGCATCCTTAACATTCTTGCAAGAGTGTTGCTATTAGCACTCATCAATTATTGTGGACACTCTATTTCTTTGGACATTATTTATAAATTATAAAACCCTTAAAATTTATTTTCTTCCTACAAATAATATCAAAATTATCCTTATAAAAATATTACGCCCATTCAAATGCGCAACGCCCACACCCCCCACACCAAAAAACCTTTCTCCCAAAATCCTAATAAAACCCATAACGGTGGAACCTCTCAAAATTAGTGGAAAAAATTGTAGTAATTAAGAAGTTTTTTCTCTGCTTCATTAAGAGGTTTGTCAATCTATTTGATTTTTTTTTCTACTACTTTTTGCATACAACACAATCCACTTTCATGTTTCTCTAGTTGATTTTCTATCATTCATCCATAGCTTCATTGTACTTGTATGCTCTCTATATGAGCAAAATTGGACAGGATTTCACCCAATGGTTGACTGACCGGTTGACCACCTAGGGTGGTCCAACCTCTTTTGTTTGTTTGCTTTTGCTTCTGCTTCTATTTCTACTTTTAGTGCTATTTCGGTTATTTGTTCCTAAACAAATAAAAAAATATTCGGTTACTTATTCCCGAACAAAATAAACAATGTTCAAACCTATGTTCACGAATTTCGGTCATATATTCAAGAGTTTAGTTTCAAAAAAATGACAAACAATTTTTATTATTTTTTCTATTTCTTTCAAGAAACTTAACTTTATATGACCAATCTCCTCTGAGTTAAAAATACTATCAAAATTATGAATATCTTCTGAATTTTTATTATTTTACTCTTCTCGTTTCATGGAGTTGTGGTTGCTGTAAAAATTTTCACTCATTATTATTGTCAGAAAAGTATATGTAATCAAATAATTACCACCATTGTCACTAGAATATTGCCGCTAAGGAGTTTTCAAGATTTTAAGGGTGAGTAGATTTTGAAGGTGCGATTTGAAGAAGATAGATGGGTGGTGATGGAGATGCGTGCTCTCATAAACTTTAACTCATCATGTAATTGGCGTGTGAACTTAATTATGAGATGAAATGTCCCAAAATATCATTTTTAGTAATTTTATTTAAAATTATTATTATAATAAGAAAAATTAAAAATAATTAATGAAGTGTTGATAACAGCCCTTTATTTGAAAAGCTAAAATAAAGCCATCATCAACGAAAATAAATAAAAGAAAAAGAAAAAGAAAAACAAGGCATGATCATCCCGAGCAGACGGCAACGAGTTGGTGCTGCGGCCTTGGAGTTTCGTATCGCGCTCACTTTGCTCTGTACAATACAACACGTTGGAACAAAATCATCAAGCCCATCATACCATCCGTCGAGAGAGAGAGAGAGACAGAAATGGGGGAGGAGATGGGTAAAGAAAATGGAGAAGATAAAGAAAGCCCTAAAAACAACAGCAACAGCAACAGTGAAAATCCGAAGAAGAAGAAGGCAAAGTCATGCAAGGGATGTCTGTATTACTCATCCTCTTTCAAATCCAATGCTCGCAACCCTCTCTGCGTCGGCATCACTCGTTCCCTCCCCCAAGGTCTCTCTCTCCCCTCTTTCTGTTTCTGTATCTATCTGATGATCGTTTTTATTCAATTTCTTTGCACCTTCAATCAATTCAATTCTCCTAATTTGTGCTATTTTTATGCGAATTGCTCATTTATTTGTCAAAGATCGCCACTTTGTGGAGGACATGGGTTGGTTCATCTGCTCAATCTTGAATCTCTTTGGCTATATCAAACAACAGTTCACAACTTTTTTGTTTCTAATTAATGTTGTTTGTCACCTTTATGCGCCCTAATGTTATTCTACATCTTTGATATTCGGATCCTGCAGTTTATGTTTGAGTAAATTCTTTTTTGTCATGATGGTTTCTGGTTTCATTTGATGGTTTTTGCCTGTTGAATTGACTGCAATTTGTACAATTATGTATAGAGTTCATTTCAAGTAGGGTTTTATCTAGTTAGTGTCTGGGTATGGAAATAAAGCTCATTTTTTTGCAGATTTAAATGGGTTGCATTAATTTAGGTTGTGTTTGGGGATGGGCTAGGACTATTGAAGAACTAGGGAGCCATCATCACAATTGATGGTATAGGATCATTTAGGTTGAATTAGAGCCTGGTGTGCCACCCTTAAATAAAGAAATAAGGAGAAGCTCTTATATGGAGAAAGTAACAAATTAGCACCAAAAGAGGTTGCAAATGTTTGTATGAAAACACACTAACAAAACTTGCAAAGAAACAAGAAGCAACCACACTCAAGCACATGTGCATAACGAAGCACACAGAGTGGGGGCCTCAAGCAAAGATCTCAAAACCCACCAATCGAACGCACACTCAAAGAAAATGCCTCCAAAACTAGTGATGTGGCCAGTACACCTTGCTCAAATCCCTTGGTTATGGAACACACTCAAGGGAGACCTAAATTCTCCTTTTATAACTTATTGGCCAGTGATTCCTAGCCAACTTTGGCAAATTGGTTTGTTTCTAGAGATGACGCAATTGATCTGCTAGGTCAACGGTAACTTCTAGAAAGACAAAAGAGAGATTAAGGGAGTTTGAGGAGAGTGTTTGTGAGAGAGAGGGAGTGGATAGTCAAAGAGAGATAGTGTTGTCTCACAACATCCCTTTTTTTGTTTTGTTTTCTATTTTCTTCTTCAATTTTATTTTGTACCATTTTTACTAGGGTTGTGCCTCTTTGTCACCACTTTCTTTAATACACTTTTAATTAACCCCCAAAAAATCTTAAAATTCTTCATGTATTAGTCTGAGTGTAGAGACGTTCACCTCTTCCCCTTGTCTCTTTTTACACAATCAGTACATCACACACACCTAGTACGTGAGATAATAATGCTGTTTATAGTTGATAATTTGATATTTAAGATTCTTGGCTGCTTTGAATTTGGTTTCTTGCTTTTGATTCTTATGTGAAAATTTGTCATCGACTGCAAGTAACTTGACTGGCTTCAGATCTGCCAAACTTCGGGAGGGAAAAAGTTTTTGCTTCTAGACCTTTACCTTTTAAACAGGAATGATATGTCTCATTTCCGTTAAAATATTCATTAGGTTCTATATTTCTGGCACTAAATTGTTAGGGACTCATGTCTTATGATATAGATCTAAGAAGCATGGACATGGATACAGATGTGGACACAGACACGGATACGGACACGGGATACGGCGATTTAAAAAAGTGGGGACACTAACATGATGGAGACACGGCAATAAAATATATTTTCATATATTTTTATTTGCTATCTAGATTAATATTATATCCATAACCAATCAATATTAACAAAACTAACTCTAATTTTATATATATATATATATATATATATTTTTAAAACACTTTTAAATTAACACTAACAGTTTATGTCTTATTTTTTTTTAGATGATCCATCAAGTATTTAAATTTAAGAAAAAAATAATAAACATTCAACATTTGACATTTGACATTCAACATTCATCAAAAGTACTAAATAAAATAGGGGTAAAGACAACTTTGACATGTTCCTAGTGTGTCCCCGAAGTGTCCACAATGTGTCTCGTAAAAATAAATTAATTAAATAAGGGGACACGCCATGTTGTGTGTCATATACGCTATATTACATAGACTCAGGTACGACCATCGGGTGTGGATGTATATCCAAACGTTAGACTTTCATAAATTTAAATATTAGAATCTTGGGATACGTATCGAAAATTAGATATGAGTGCGGGGGACACGTCATATACACATTATGTAATATTTTCAAATGAAACGTTGTAAATTATATAGAAATATACTTGATATTGAATAGGATTCAGAAAAAAATATAAAATTTCTATATCTAATTTATGCGAGAGGCTAAAAATATTGCTTTACTAACAAATGTGAGTTTTTTCTTCTCATATATTGTAACAAATTAAAGGATCCTAGTGTCTAAATTAGGTACTAGTGTCAGACACATATCTCATACCTTTACCCATGCTATATCCGGTAGACAAGGGTAATATGGGAGAAATAGAAAAGTCCATGTAACACAGCTTATATGTGTCTCCGAGGTGTCCACTCGTCTCCGAAGTGTCCGTGTGTCTGATATGGATATGGCACTTCTTTGGATTGGACAATGCATTTCGTATTGGTTTACTACATACTGGAATAATTGAAGATCAGGTTTTTATTTACTTGGGAAGTTAATTTTGGTTAGAACTTTATTTCTTAGTATTTGTTTCTTTGTGTGTGTGGGGTGGGGGGTGGGGTATGTACCTTATGTAATGGTTTTATCATCCTAGACTTGATATAATATGATTTGATCATATGATTAATTGAGATATTTGTCTGGGGATTGTGTTCCTAGTCCTCTTTCTTATTGTCCTCTTCTTCTCTTGGTGCTACATGGCATATGTTTGGTGGTTGAGATGTTTGCATTGCAACTATGGATGGAAAATGATTTTCCCTTTTGATGATTAGCACCACACTACATTGTTGGAGAATCTGAGATGGAAGCTTCTAGAGATGGTAGAAGCTTTGCAGATTTCAAATATGCTTGTGTTGGTTACTCTGTGTACTCAAATGGAAAAGTTTCTTCAGCGGACGTGAAAGAGACACAAACAGAACTGCCAGTGTGTGTTGGACTTGAGGTTATCAACTCGAAATTCTCTTCTTCTACTTCATGTTTTTTTTTTTTTTGGTTCTGTCAATGTTATTATGTCAGTTTGTGTTGTTGGACTTGAGGTTATCTACTCGAAATTCTCTACTTTTTTTTAAAATTTATTTATTTATCATGTTATTTTGGTTCTGTAAATTTGCATTAGGTTATTATTTGATCTATCAAAAACCAATGAAAGCATATACATTTCAATGTTATTATGTCAGTTTGTGCGATGTTTCTCCTGTCAATTATCATTATTTATTAATTTGTTATTAGAGAGATGTGATGCTTATTGCATATTGATCATTTGGGAATTCGTCAAAGTAACTTAATCCAACCATGAGTATATATTTTTTTATTACATAAAGCATATATATTTTGAATATTTGGTGCAAATAGTAGGATAGTATTGATAGTGTTATGTGCACAACTTTCAACTCCAGCCAAGTGAGGTGTCATGTATGATGATGAGATTGTTGGATGTTAAATTCCAGCGGTGTCCAAGTTTTGGGTTTCATGGAGCAGGTGTGGTTTTAGGGGAGCAGAATAGGAAGGAGGAGAAGTGAGAAGTGAGGGCTTGTTATGGAGGTGGTGGGTGTTGAAATGGAGAGAAGGGTATATGATCCGGACACTGCAGTGCCAATCAAAAACAAAAAAAAAAAAAAATGGGAGAGAAGGGTAGAGGGAAGGATAGATTTAGTAAAGAGAGGGAAGGTGATTGTGTAATGGGTGGGTTAGGCTGCTGGGAAAGAGAGAGATTGGAGACTTCGGGTGAATCGCCATAGGTCTTGTACGTTGGGGATGGGGCACTGTTATGTAGAAGGTGGTTGGTGGAAGTGGTGGGGGTTGAGATAGAGGAGAAGAGAAGCAAGTTGGGGGGAAATTGTAGAGATGTAGAGAGGAGAAGGATTAGTTAGCAGGCATCAAGGAGTGGCCGCAGGTAAGACTAATGGGTTTGTTGGACTGTTGTGGATGGGTTGGCGAGGAAGCCGCAACTGAGTATAGATTTTGAGCAAGAAAGCTTTTTTGAAGCTGGTGAAAAAATTGAAGCAAAACACAGGCCTAGATTGGAAACCAACAAACAACACCCCCATGACTTTATTTTCTTTCTTTACTTTTTCCGGTTGTATAAGGGTTGTGCCCCCTTGACATGTTCTCTAATACAATTTTATTTGCTTATGACAAAAAAAAAGGTGCCAAATGTCTAGGTTTTAGATTATCTATCTAATTCTGTACTTTGCCTGCTTGTTTTATAGATGTTATCTCACTGACATAATTAAGTCTTCATGCAGGTTTTGGTAGACAGAAGAGTTAATACTGCTGACCCTGTTCCGGCTCATGTTCATACCAAAGAAGGTAATTTATTAAGATGTAAATTTATGATTTTGGTTCAATGAAGATGGAGTATTTTGACCAGCTAGGTGTGTCGTTGGTTTTTCCCTTGTTCTCGAGCATTTTTCACGTAGGTAGGTTGTTACATTGTGTTTACTTATTGCAATTTGTTTTTTTTATTTTTTTATTGGGGGGGTAGGTAACTTATTGCTGAGATGAGAATACTAAGGTGGATGTGCGGCAAGACTAGAAAACACCGAGTTAGGAATGAGTATATTTAAGAATGGGTTGGAGTAATACCGATAGAACATAAGTTGAGAAAGAATAGATTGAAATGGTTTGGTCATATATAACGGAGACTAACAGAGGCAGTAGTAGAGAGATGTGATACAATAACGGTAGATAGTAGTGTTAGGAGAAGGGATAAACCTAGTGTAGTAAATAGAGATATGAATCTCCTTAATTTGATTAGCGAAATGGCTTTAGATAGAGCCAAGTAGAGAAGAAGGATTCGTACAACTGACCCCATTTGATTGGACTTAAGACTTGGTTTGGTTTGGTTTAGGTAACTTATTGCTATTTGTTTGGTTGCCGTTGTGATTAATTTAATTATATTAATTGACATATTGAACTGAACTTAAATGATTAATTGGCAATAAAACCCCACTCTCTAGGCATAAACTGGTCTCACTCTACGATTTCTGCAACACATGCATTGACAGCCTTTGACTGGTGATTGGGCTGTCCTTTTTGAGCAGAGCCAAAAAGTTAAGGTCAGATGAAAATTAATGTAGGTAAAAATATATAAGATTTGAGAATATAGGAACACTGAAAATTTGTCTCTGACCTTACAATTAAATAGAGAGGACAGATGAAATGAAGTACTTCTTTGAATACCAAGTCAAATGCAGAAATGTTATATTCCTTTAAAATGTGAAATGAAAGTTGGGAAGCTTAGTTTGGAGCAATTATATTGACAATGGTGGACAGTTTGACTTGCAATTACATTAGATGGACAAAATGTCAGGAAATAGTTATTACTGAGGTGAAATAAAGGCATTACTGTGTCTAGGCATCTCTTTTTATCTTGTGCTTAAGCCATAGTTTAATATATATACATAAAAGGGGGTTGGTTCAGTGGTAAGACCTTCGAATTCCTTGCTTAAAGTCTGGGTTCGGGTCTCCATAGTCCCTTGTTGGGGTTAAACATACTTTTTAGCGCCCAGAGCACGTAGGGGCCTTAACTTTGGCCCCGACGTAGCTGTGGTGGGGTTCCTTGCAAATGCGCTGTGGGTGCTAACACTGCTAAGGGGCAATACTCTCTGGTGGGTATGTAGAGTAGCCTATCTACGTATCTATTTTATTTAGCTGTTGGATATATACATAAAATGGATTTACCTTTTTAATCGTCTAATTGGTAGGCTTGTTTCCTAATTTCATATGAAATTCTCTGTAGTCATTTTATTTGATGATTTGAATTTGTTATCTGGAATGTTGTGTGGCTTGTGCTTCATTAGTTACCATCAAACTAATATATGGTGTGTTTCATTCTTGAAAGATACTCGTGGATTTCCACAGCCTCGAACACATAAACCTGCTCATTCTGTAGGGGATGAGTTCTTGGGCAGGCAAGTTGATGATTTGATTTTTCAATCTGTTGGAATTCAATATTATAGTTAACTCCCACAGAGCTTGAATTTGCATTATTTTGTTAAAAGTGCAGATTTTCTAGAAATGCGACCGTGGTTGCAATGGGGGTGGCGAAGAACCTGCGTAGAGTAGGCAATCAAATGAAAGAGCGCCTTGACGACATTTTATATCCATACCGGAGGCGACCAAAGTAAGATTGCTAATCTCGCGGTATGAGAGTACGGAGAAAATAAGCAAGAGAAACAAGACCCGGCTTTGACCTAATTATGCATTCCTTTAGACCACAAACACTCCTCCCTCTTCTCCTTTCTAGTATTGGCCACCAGCACACTGAAGCGATTGCTCAATTGGAAAGGGTAGAGAGGGGACATTTTCATTCTGTTTAATATTGCACTACTTTTTTTTAACATACCTATGTTGGTATTTGTGTAGGCATCTGAAAGCTTGGTGGGAGGGAGAGTCTTGTTCTTCTGTACAATTACTGATATAAGCTTTTTTTATTTTTATTTTAATGAAATAGAAATGCCAACTGTGCTATTACGATCTCGTTTCTGTACAGAGTGATTGGTTTTTATATTATTATGAAGATGGTTCAATCAATTGAGGTAAGAAAAATATAATAAAATTGATGGTGTGGTTGAAAATTTTCTGGCAGCTATTAAAGGAGACAACTATTCATTTTATTTTGTTTTTTTGAAAATTTCTCTGGCTACCAGTTGCAATTAAAGTGAGCTATTTGTAAAATGACTTTTATTTGATTCGTTAAAACTCGTTCAATTATATATTTGAGTCAAGTTTGAGCTTGGATTCAAGCTCAATTAATAACATAGTGACCTTAAAAACTGTATTACTCAATTTGAGTAATATTAGAGATTTTAAATATTTTATTAAATATTTCGCATGAGGTGAAATTTATATGAAATTTAGTGTAAATTTCATATCAATACGGGACATTTCATTTGATAAAACATTTTTCATTCAACATTGGCTTTTGTTCGTAATCTTGTACTATGCCATTGCTCAATATCTACATCCACGTGGGTATGATGCAGAGATGTATATATCATTTTGTCTTTTCTTGAGCTAGTGGGGGGATGTTATTGGGCGTAAAGAAAAGATCGTAGTGCCCTTGCTTTGCCCAAGTCAACCTATAATAAAATCAACTATAATAACAAGATAATGAGAGAAACTAATTAAATATTTAATGTGTGATGTGAATTTAATTGTTAACGTCTTAAACATGGCAAGGTCAAGGTCAAGGTCAAGGTCATTTGTATTGGCAAAAAGCCAATCCCTCTCTAGTAAAAACACTATCATTAATAAACGTTAGATAAGAGGAGATAAAATAATACTTGAATAAACATCTTAAATAATGCATTAATGCTACTTATGTAGAAAATTATCAAGAATTTGAAATTGATAACTTTCTGGGAGGCAAGTAGCATTTTTGCACAGAGTAAATCTACAAGAATAGATGATTTTTATAATGGGACACAAATATGAAAACAAAGTGTTAGGTTTACTGTTATTTTTTAAACTATCATCATTTTTTTTTCCTATTTCATCCTTAAACTATTAATTTTGTTTGTTTAGTTGCTAAAGTTTTTTATTTCAATTCATATGGTCTAATTGGAGATAATCTGTCAAAGTCACTAACAGTTAAATCCTAATTTGATGGGCAAAAAAGTCATTTTAGAATTTAAACAACTTAAACTATACAATACAATCTATTTATTTTTTTTCACTGTATTTTGAAATAAGGATGGAGAAGAATATGAATATGAATATATGGTTGTAAAATTTAAGTTTTCTACTATAGTATGAGTAAGAAGATGAGAGTTTAATCGTATGATTTAGGTTAGTCAGATTGTAAAATTATTTTTTGCTCCATTAAGTTTGGCTTTAATGATTACTGATTTTAACAGGCAATCTCCAATTGGACAATATAAACTGTAATTAAAAAATTAAAAAAATAAATAGACGAAATTAATACTGTAGTTCAAGATTGGAATAAAAAAATGACAATAATTTATAGGATAAAAGTGAAATTAACCCCAAAACAAAATGGTGGATCCCATGTACAAAAATTTTGTCTCTATTTTTTTTTTTGATTGGAATTTTCAATGTCATGACGCTCCGATATATTGCATGGAATTGAATTATTGGGAATTGATTTTAAAAAACCATTTTGTTTTCATAATCAATTATTATAGGAGACGAGCATATCAAGCCCGTCTAGCTCAGTTGGTAGAGCGCAAGGCTCTTAACCTTGTGGTCGTGGGTTCGAGCCCCACGGTGGGCGCTTGAGGAGTGTGTTTTTAAAACATCTTTTATTTTTTTCCAAGCGTGCATGTTTTTAAATATCTTCTATGTTTTTTCTCAAACGTTCAAATTTACAAAACAATGAGATTGTATGTAGACGAGTGCAATGTAATTTTGTATACATGGGCAATAATTTTTATCATCCAAACCGCTCAACTGCAAAAATTGATTGACGCAGTTTGGATTATTATGAGTTGATGGATTAATCATTTTTTGAACAAGGTGTTGATAAATGACAAGTTGACACGTCCAAGTTCAAGCCAAAGTGAGCTAACATTCAGCAAGCTTAATTACAAAGTGAAAGGCTCTTTACTCCCAAAACTAATCAAGAGTATTATTAAAAAGGGGTGAAGCTGATTAATATTGTTAACAATAGTTGTGTTCAAATGGGAATGAAACATGTCAAATTACATAAAATGGTATGTCTGACATGTGAAGTATCAACTTGAGAAAAGTATATATGTAACTGCTAACAACGTCTCTGTGGCTGATTGATTTCAAGTTGTTGGAAGAGTGAAGATGTGTGGGCAAACAAAAAACAAAAGCCTTATGGGCCCTTTTTAGAAATTCATGATTGAAGAAGAGACACCTTGCTGACAAACAACACCTGCTCACCATCTTCTTCTTCTTCCTCCTCTTATTAATGAAAGGGATATTGAAGAAAAAGAACAAAGGAAAAAAGCCTCCCATCCTTCTCAACCCACCTCTCTAACCCATATCTCTCTCTCTCTCTCTCTCTCATGTTCACAAAAATAATTAGGACAAAATACAGAAATGGTCCCTATAGTTTTCCCGTGGTTTCATTTTAGTCCCTGCACTTCTAAATGCATCAATTTTGCCCATGTAGTTTGGTTTTTGGCTCGAAATGGTCTAATAGTTAACGGTGGTTAGACTTTTGAACGGAAATTTCACGCGTGTAAGGCACGGGACAATTTTTACTTTCTTAAACAATTTTGACTTTCTTGACTGTTTTTGTAACAATTCAATTTGTTCTCTAATATTGTAATTCAAATTTAACTCATTTAATAGATGTTTTATTTAATTTTATTATTTAATTATTATTATTTTTTAAAATAAATTTATTTAAAATTTTAATTAAAAAATAACATAATTTTTTATTGATATTTTATTTATTTAATCTTTAAAAATAAATTTATTTAGTTGTGTAAAAAATAAAATAAAATAAAATTTATTTAATCTAGCTAAAAATAATTAAAATATTAAAGATATGTTTATTTAATTAAGCCAAATATTAGATTTACTAAAAATAGTCATTTCTAGACATCTAATCCTATGAGAAAACAAACATGGGATGCACATCTAATCTAACCAAATAGTCCGAGGGATTCATAGTCCTAGAATTTAAGTCCGATGGATTCTAATCTCCCATTTTCTAATTGTTTATTAAGTAATAGCATGACGGTAAAATAGACATTTTACACATTAGTTCTATGAGATACCAATCCCATTGAAATAATCCCCTCCTAGGATTGTTTAGTCTCTCACATGAGGTATATAGAGTCTGGCTGGACTCCATGTCCGGCGGACTAAATTATTAATAAAAAATAATTTATTATTAAAATAGACATTTATAAATATATAATTAAAAAATATAGACATTTATAAATTATTTTTTTGATGTTGTTAATTTAAAATTATATATTAATAGGTAGTTCAGCAATGCAAAAAACACTTATAAATAAACAAACATACCAAGAGAGATGCTTGCACATCTTTTCCACCGCTTCGCAATTCACTTAATATTGTACTTAATTGGTATAGTTGTTAGTGTTTCTCACATTAGTATTGTCTAACTTGTAAAATTTGTTACTATATTAATTGAAAATATCACTTAAATAATGATACATTATGCACCAAAACTATTAAATAACTATCCATTTCTTATCTTTAGATGGTCACCTCGAATCAAAATGGGCTTTGCTTTCACTGGTAAGGACACCAAAGATTATGGTTTTAAGTTAATAATATCGGTTGATATATTAATAAATAATAAAATGAGAAAATTTAAAATACCAGTGCGTATCTATACTATATATATAATAGAATGTAGTGCTGTGTTTTACAAGGCTTGAAAATGCCATTCTAAAATTCTCATAAATCTGAAAAATACGTGGCAAGTCTTTTCTGACTTTATAACTCTTTTCCTTCACTCCCAAAGACTTTCATAACAATAAAAACTCCTATTCTTCCACCTTCCCACTCTCCCACTATCTACAACTCCTATTCCCAACTCTTATCCATAAAAAACTAAAATCCAAACAAATCTGTTACTCTCACTCTCCCACGTCAAACAAATCAAGCTGTCAACAAAAAAAAAAAAACAAAACTTATCCAAACAAATCTGTTACTCTCCCACCTCAAACAAATCTCTCCTACCCTCAAACACCATTACAAATCTCTCATACCCTCAAACACTTTCAGTCCCTCAAACCATTACTTCTAACAATCCACTACATCAACTTGCTTCATCAACAGTGAACGGCAGCAATCCACAGTAGGCCATCGAATGCAAGTCTCGGTATTGTAATCTCCATGTCTCTGTTTTTGTTTTTCTTTTTGTTTTGCTCTAATAATTTATATATATATAACCCAATCTTCTCCTTCCCTCATCTCCATTGAAGATGTCTCTGTTTTTGTTTTTGTTTTAGTTTTTCTTTTGTTACCAAATGCAGATTTTGAAAGCCACTGCAGATTTTGAAAGATAGAGATGAATGTGTCGCTTCGCAATTCACTTAATATTGTACTTAATTGGTATAGTTGTTAGTGTTTCTCACATTAGTATTATCTAACTTGTAAAATTTGTTACTATATTAATTGAAAATATCACTTAAATAATGATACATTATGCACCAAAACTATTAAATAACTATCCATTTCTTATCTTTAGATGGTCACCTCGAATCAAAATGGGCTTTGCTTTCACTGGTAAGGACACCAAAGATTATGGTTTTAAGTAAATAAT